ATTCTTGTATGACGTCATATCCTACTGAGGTGCTGATTGGTCGGAATTAGATACCTGAAGGTAATTATCTGCCGTAGTTATTTTTGTTTCATTGTTTTGCGTGTTTTCTTATATGAAATGTAATTAAAAAATTTGCCATATTTTAATCACCATTAAAACATAACTGAATAGGTATGAAAGAGAACTCGATATATACTTTCCTTATTTTTAAGAATTCCGGAATTAGATACCCGAGGGAGCAAAGAGGGAGCAAGTTGCCACGCTGATTTGATACCTCATAGTCCAAAGGTGGGCTACTAGAACCGAAAATTGCTTTGTTTGTAAATAAATAAGTGATTTGAGGGCAAAGAATGCCCGGATTTAAACTTCTAAAATTATTTTGAACATAAAATATTTCAGTTTGAGGGATGTTAAGGCCTCAAAGAGTAGGTACTTTTTAGGTATCAAATAAGTTCCTCTGCGAAAGTTCCGTCGTGAAAACGGCTTATAGGTATTTTTTGAAAATAATTGACATTTGATAGTAAATAGAAAGTGAAAAATGGTTCAGAATAGATAAATAAGCAAAAACGTGATTGTATCGGTAGGTACTCTAGGACCTTGCCGCTTTCTTCCATCGGCATTGAGAGGAACAGAAAGAGGCCGTTCTTGCGGCAACTTACCGGCACCCTGATTATCAGCGTTTTGATCTATAAAATGATACAGATTTCTTCAGCCAGTCTTACTGGCAAACTTAGGAGTTGTAAATGATCATAGCTGTGCTGAAAAGTTGGGCCCAGCTTCATCCATTTTTTATTTTGGTAATTTTTACCTTTCTACACTCCCACTGTGCATTCCTGTGTTAATTTTCAACATATTAACTTTTACTTTTTGAAAACAAGTTCGGAGATCGAAATGATGCTACATTAAAAATCATTTTAAATTGCATCGGATAAGTATTTCATTTTTGCATTGGTAACTTGGTGGCAAAGTCACCCCATGTGGCCTGCGATTCACTTGGAAAAATCGCTACCAAAATTTTTAGCTAAATGAAGTGACAAATGCCAGTTTTGTTGAAAATGCTAACTTAACAGCCTTGTCATGATCAACCATACCAAGTTTCAGCATCGCAGTTGGTCTAGAACATGGTTAGATAATAAAAAAGTTCGGACCTCTTCAAATTTAACCATTTCAATGACTCCAATAAAATGGAGTCCAGTTAAGTATTTAGTGGTAACTTATCTCTCAGTGAGGGTTATGTTGGAAGGCCCATCAATTATCTTCCATTTGTGCATACAAAGTTATTACATTCTTCGTAAAATATCACTTGAGATCCCCGTAAAGCATTTTTTTTAGAAGCATGGCAAAGTAACCAAGCAAGGCAAAGTCGCCCCCGTTTACGGTAATTACCTTTGACTCAAGAGAGCCACGACATTAATTATGCCAGCATCGTGTTCCCCTCGTGGAGACGCGTCGAATGAAATATAAGTTGACCTTAAATGTCATGTTGAAAATTTGACCTCAGGTCAAGGTCATGACCTGACCGAAAAGGGTCATGCTGCATATCAATCGATCCGTATCGTCGAGCTGAACATACCTGACTTGTTTTCACCGCTCTAGCACGTCTCTATCAAAAGTCATAGTAAAAAACTGCTGGTGACCTTTCATGACCTAAGATGACCTCAGGGGCACACAGAGGGGTCACAGCTGCAACTTCCCAATTTAGTGTGTCATGGTAGAACCGATGAACCGATGTTTGAGAGGGTTTAGAACGGCATTCGTCCAAAAGAGGTGCATTTCAATTTTATCCCATTGACTTAGGTATCCCTAACAGAGACGTCGCAAAATTTACCTGACCTTAGGTCACAGACATCAAAAATCCGAGACATAAATTTAATACATACTGTTAGGTACTTCTATCAATCTCTGAAAGTTTCGAAGAGATCGTTCAATCGGTGTAGCCACAGCGAGCCTTTGAACTTTTTTTCTGAGGTAAGGTCACTACTTGACGTGACCAGGGCCTCGTTTCATAAAGCGAGTCCGTAACTTACGCCGGTTTTAGGTCTTGTATTGCAAGTGCATGTGAAGCGATGACGACAGTTTGAATCGTTGAATATATTTTTCTTGCAAGCAACAACAGAAGGGAGAAGGGGAAATAAATATATCGCTTTACATGCACTTGCAATACAAAACCAAAAACCGGCGTAAGTTACGGACTCGCTTTATAAAACGAGGCCCAGGTGACCTGACCTTGAGCGACCCGGATCTAACATTTTCAGAACAGGTGCGGAAAAGATGGATCAACAGGTGTACCAAAAATGGTGGCGGCGCGTTGGCGAAAAACCTGAGGGGGGAGAGGGCGCGAAAACGCCCCTTCCCCCCGCAGTGTGGCGTGGGTTAAGAAGCAATCGTTGATCATTTGAATAATCTATCAAGGTATCAGATATTAATGCTTAATCAAAACACTGAAATAAATTAATAAAATTAAAATATGTGTTGAAAAACATAAAATTCGCAATTCAGTTAGCGTAGTCACAAATAATACCAAGCTGCCACGCCGCACATATTACATTCAGTTCTACCGCAGTACAGACATCTAACGAACGAGTGTGACCAAGGAATGTTTTAAAGTAAATTAATGTCTGATAGCTTGATGAATCATTCAAATGATCATTGATCAACGATAGCTTCCTAAGCTGGAAGCCTACTAAAAACAATTGTGAGCTAATTTTGACTAAATCTGCACCTAATATGCACTAAATGTGTACCAGATAGCCGTCGTGAAAACGACTAATATGTATCCCGTTTTTTTTTTAATTCGGTTGACCTAAGATTATCCTGGGTCGTGACAAACTCACGCGGACGGCGTTGGATCACGACAAAACTGTATCCTGGAGCCGAACATTTTGTTTTTACCTGCCCTGAAAATATCATGACCTGGACCCAGATGACCGATGGCTTATGAGCTTTTTTGGAGATAATGTCGGGTCATAAATGTCACTTCAAGAAGTTGTAATAGGTCCCGATTTTCCCGCCACCTGTCATTGACCTCTTGAATGAGACTCAATGACCAAGAACCTTAACCCGCGCCGGGCCGGTGCTCTGAGATTCCGCGCCGGGCCGGGGGGGTGTCTGAACACCCCCCCCCCCGTCTAACTCGGCTCCTGGGCCACGTAGCGACACGCGGTAAGCGGCATTCGAAAGAACAACCAAAATAAGGACGAAAACACTTCAGTCATTTTTGGGTCAGGTCAAAGGTCAGGTCACCAGAGGTCACCAAAGGTAAAATGTTGACTATTTCAACAATTTGGAAACTGCCAACGGCTATCTCGGGAACCGATAGAGCTACAGCGCCGCGGAAAAGCGCATTCGATAGCCCTTTTACAGACCTTTCTGAATAATGCTCTCAGATTTGACCTGACGTCAACGGTTTAGCCTCCAGAGGGCAAAAACTCCAAAAATAGCCGTTTTTACGAAAAGCGTTTTTTCGGCTATAACTTTTGACTCAAAAGAGCCATGACATTACTTTTGCCAGCATCGTGTTCCTATCGTCAAGACGCGTCGAATGAATTATAATTTGACCTTGAAAGGTCAACTTGAAAATTTGACCTCAGGTCAAGGTCATGACCTGACCGGAAAAGGTCATGTTGCATATCAGTCGATCCGCAACGTCGAGCCGAACACATCTAAGGTGTTTTCAGCGCTCTAGCACGCCTCTTTCAGAAGTTATTAGCGAAAAACTGATAGATTCTGTTCGTGACCTGAGATGACCTCGGGGACATAACGAGGGGTCAAAGTTGCCATTTTCCGGTTCAGTGTGTCAATTGTACCTACATCTCGATGTTTGAGAGTGTCTAGAATAGCGTTCGTGCAAAACAGACGCTTTTCAATTTTCTCTCATTGACTTATAATGGAGAGGCCGCAAAATTGACCTGACCTTAGGTCACCGATATCGAAATTCCGAGATAAACATTTTATAGATAATGTTGCTCTAATCAATCGCTGAAAATTTCAAGGCAATCGATCAATCGGTGTAGCTATGACGAGCATTCCTATTTTTTCTGAGGTGAGATCACTTGGCGTGACCTGGTGACCTGACCTAAGGCGACCTGGGTCTGAAATTTTCACATGTGCGGAAAAGATGCACAAACAGGCGTGCCAAAAACGGCGGCGCTCCGCGCCGCCGTTTTTGAGATATCTGCGAAAAACCGCAGGGTGGGGGTGTTCAAACACCCCCCCGGCCCGGCGCGAGTTAAAACTGGATATAGCAGCGGCTTCTTATCGTCACGGACAACACGCTCGTTTTCCTGCAAAGCTCTAGCTCAGAGGCCGAGAGGCTAGGGGTCCAATCGTCTCCGCCCCCCCCCCCCCCCCCACCTTACTTAAGCGGCTGCGAAAACGCCATGTCGTCTATAATTGCAATAGAAGGGCGACGGTTAAAACATTGCAGTTGCTTTTACACTACTGTACGGAATGGTGAGCAGCAGCTACATGAAAATTGGTATGCGCCAGCTAATCAATTCATGCTGCGTGCGTTTAGCCTGGACGTATCTTCGAACCCTGGGGTGCAACAGTCGCGATATTAGTCCCATCAAGAGAGTCATGAATTCTAAAAACATGGACTTTCTCAGAGGTCCTCATTACCCCCACCGCAAGGCCTCCATTACCCCAAAGGGGGCATGCCCCATCATTTGCCGACCCCTGACCTAGCGTCACCAAGTTTGCGTAGGGAGAGATTTCCTATGGGTCCACCTACCCTGTAACTTTGGTGGTCCTAAGCGCCATATGGACTATGGAGCCAATCGCCAGACGCCAAGGGCTCCCCCCCCCCCCTCCCTCCGCGGCTTCCATCTGGCCGTCCGCGTTATGAAAAAGACTCTGGGCTGGCGATGGTTAGACTTCAATATCCAAACGTTCGTGGCACCATTCAAACATGTGTTAGGTATCATCCGGTACCGGTCTAGCGTGCCCCCCACCTGACGTTAGACGCCGCAGCACCGACTGACTGTGCGGTGTGCCCGCAGAGCCCGTGGCCGGCGACTACTGCACCAGTAGTGCCGTGTGCGCTGCGTCCATCACCAACGCACAATGCACCAGCAGTACGTGCCAGTGCTCCAGCGATCACTGGCTCAACAGTCCGACAGAGTGTCTGCCGGGCGTGGCGATCGGCGCCGCATGCACCCAGCTCATCGAGTGCCAGGTGAGTATCACCACCGTCCAGGTAAACCACTACCCAGTGAACCAGGCGGCAGTGCAAGTTTCGGCTGTCATTCCTCTCAGAAAGAGGGCATTCAATGTTTACAGGGTGTCCCGAAATTGATGCGCGGTTGTTTTATTCTGAACACCAGTATTTGAATTTATGCCATGGTTTATTTACTATTATACATAGTCTATAGACCTACTTAAGTTGTCTACAATGCCTCGTGCGCTCCGACATGTCACACATCAGATTGTCGAGAGTTTCTCCTTTGATACTTTGCCATGCCACTCACGCGTTTTTGAACAGCGTCTTCTCTTAGCTGTCGGGCGGGAGCCTGCTGAGCTCTTGTTTGACAAACATTCAGAGGTTTTCGATCGGGAACGGGTCCGGTCTGTTGCCAGGCCATGTCCCCTTCTCTCAGAAGCTTGGGGACTTCGCTCAGCACCAGTCCTGGGTCTTCCTAGCGTAATGAGCCAGAAATTCTTCCTGCTCGAAAATATCTCCGGACATGTCTGGCAAAAGCTTGGCTTTGGTTTGTGACCCATTTTCCTTTTCCCTCTGCATCGCAGTTGCGTCAGTGTTCGCCAGCACCTCGCTGACAAGTTATCAGCGGTCACGGTCTGTCCCTGCGGCGCCTGGTGAAGCTCAGAGAGGCCTCTGTAGCCCATCATGCCCAAACGAGAATCCCCAGTGGATGCTTCACCGTTTCGACAATGCGGCACCTGTAAGCTGTTGTTGGCCCAGAACCGGTCGTCGGGACGGTTAGGGACTTCGGAGAACTCCAATGGCGCCTTGTCACTGAAAAAGACTCACCTCTAGTCCTGAATGGTACAGCTTTGGTGGTTCTGGGCGAAATCCAGCTGCCTCGCTTCTGGACCAGGGTAAGCCAGGGCTGCATCTTGAGGTTGAGCGACTTCAGCTTCAGGGTTATGTCTTCAGATGCCGGTGGATGGCGGATTTAGATGCCTGGTGCCCTGGTCCAGGTGCCCCTGGTGCCGGACCCGGTAAAATTACATTCGTTCAGGACTCAGGAGGGACAACATAAGGGGCGTTCCACGACAAATCGACAAATAAAAAATTAAATTTGCACCCTCATATTTTATTTTTCGTTGAAAACTGGTGTAAAGGGTTGTGATGGGCGGGGAAGCCAGCTGTGGCAAGGATTTTTTTCTTCGAACAACGGTTTCCGAGATATAGCCTCGGGCAATTCCTGCAGGTCGCGCTGCAGCCCTATGTTTGGCGGCCTATAACTCAGAAACTATTGGTTTTCTACGATAAAAATTTTATATGGTTCAACTCACAATCAGCCAACAAACATTTTGGCTATCTCGGATTTTCAATTTTTGAAAATTTTGATCACGTGACCTTTTGACCTATTTTTCGAAGAGTGACCTTAATATTTTCCCCACTGAAAGTTGCAATTTTGTCTGATGACGATTAAAGCCTTATCAATTGTCATTCATATGCGAAAATAAAAAAGTGGATATCGCCCTGTGTTTACCTCAGGTCAGGTCATTTTTATGACCTGTCCATTATTACGAGCGGACGGCCATATATTATAACAGGCCGCACCAACCGCGCATCAACTTCGAGACACCCTGTAGTTCCCGGCCGAGGCCGACTACCTGCCATCGTTAGATACATGAGCCCCACCCCTATGTTTGGTTGTCTGAGCGCGTGTGTGTCAGAACGGACTCCCCAGACCTGTCCGTTGCTGTCTGGCAGACAATTACCTCCGGCTCCGAGTGCAGCTCCGGCGGTCTGTGCGCCTGTCCGGCCGGCACGTGGCACAATCCGGATGGCAGCTGCCTGCCAGGTGAGTTCCGGAAAACAGCTGTCTCAAATGTGAGCTCCAGGCAGCAGCTGTCTCACATGTGAGCCTCACATGTGAGTTCCTGACACAGTTGTTCGAAATGTTCCGGGCACCCATTGCATTACCGGTGAGTCCAAGTGCCATGCATGCGAGACGTGGGCACCGGATGCATTAAGGCCTGGCTACACTATGCGTTTTCTGCGTGCGTTTTTTGCGAGTTTGCGTGTTTTGCGTAATATCGTTCTAGAAAAAAAGGTTATTATTAATTTACCTTCTTTAATATTTATATAAAAGTTAATGAAACGTTTATGTTAATTAAAAGTTTATATGAAAAACATATAACAAAAACGTAATGTCGTTTCTTTTTAGAACGATCTTAAGTCTTAACCCGGCAGGCGGTGGGCCTCCCAGCCACCTTCCGCGCGGTGGGGGGGGGGGGATTTTTTGCCCCCCCCGTATCTCCGAAACTACTGGACGGATCCGGAAAATTCAAACGGCGTTCAATAGCCCTGTCAAATTTGTCGAGGGAAACCAAATTTCATTGACCTCGGGGTCACCGATGACGTCACAGGTCAGATCAAAGATAAAATGTTTCACCGTTCACGGGGCTTCTAGGGAAAGCGCTATAACACCGAGTAAAACGCATTTTGTCGAAAATTAGCGATAAGGCGCCAGTTTTCTAGAACATATGTTGCTATTAGAGGTCACTGGTCAAACCAGGTCAGGTCACAGGTCAGGTCACCAAAGGTCACCAAGGGTCACCACATGAGCCCAACTTTACTAAGGTTATGCGATGCATGTTTTATGGCCAGTTTTTCATTTCCAACTCAATGGTGTTGGTTATAAGACCATCAGGTACGGTTTAGGTCACTTTCTGGTGGAGGTCAGGTCAAGGTCAGGTCAAAAAAGGTCAAATTTCAAACTTGATATTTTTGCATAAAATGGGTATCGATTCGATGCAGCTCGTCACGGGGAGTCTAACGGTGGTCTTTGTTTTGCGCTACGAGGTCTAGAATTGCTAAAAATTGAGTTTGAAAATTTGACGTCATCAATTTTGAACAGTTTTTTTCGCTATAACTTGGCCAAAAAAAGAGGTATCGATCTCAAATTTCGTATGTAGATAGAAGGCGGTGGGGACTATCACATATATTTCGTTTTTTTCGAAATTCAAAAAACTTTTTGGATTTTTCGGCTATTATATTCAAAAAATCTATTTTTTGATTTTTGCGGGTCAAAATCCAAAAAATTCGAAAAACCGAAATAGCAGTTTGGTAGCCCTTTTGATTCCACACCTTATATGTCTGAAACATTTTTCTGTATCTCTAAAGCTGTAGGCCTGACAGGCGACAGCTCTTCCCGCGAAACCTTTTTTTGGGTCGAAAATGGCAAAAATGACGTCACTCTGACGTCATTGGCGGCCAACCTATCATAGCCTTTGGAAAAAATTTTTGGTCACCATGTGCGCTAGCTGCTCCCGGGAGGGTACTGAAAGTTTGGTTACGATCGGCGCAGCGGTTCTCGAGATATATTGAAAAAAACTAAAGGGGGGGGGGGGGGGCAAAAAAATGCCCCCCCCACCGCCTGGAAGGTTAAGCAAATCACGCAAACTCGCAGAAAACGCACGCAGAAAACGCATAGTGTAGCCAGGCCTTTACAGGTGACTCATTCATCTGTGCAGAACGCCCTATTATTTGGAAACTTTTGCGACAATATGCAGGCAAGTCAACGTTTCCCATAGGTAGTTTCAGACCACATTCCTATATGTTTTCTTTGCATTGAATTTTGCCGTTTAAAATTGACTAGCAACTCGAATCAATATTCAATTATAGTTCCTAAACAGAGCTAACTTCCTCCACATTTGTCTCGTTTACTCGGAGCTCGTTTAAAAGGCACGCAAGTTTATTCTAAATATTTGGTGCAATGATTGATAGGTTGGATGTGCTGCCGTGCAGCGTGAACCCTGAGTGCGGGGTTTGACAGATCGGATGTGTTGCAGTGAAGGCGCTGGGCGAGGCGTGCAGCGTGGACCCCGAGTGCGGGGACGAGACCACCACGTTCTGTTCGTCGGCCGTGTGCGCGTGCCGGGCCAACCACGTGGCCGTGAACGGCGTGTGCGAGCCGGGGAAGGCGATGGGAGCGGCCTGCACCATCAGCGCAGAGTGCACGGTCAGTGACCGGCCACCGACACCGGAACAGTCACCACAAACCACGCTTAAAGGAAAAAGTTCACTTTTAACCCGCGCACCGACGGGGGTCTGCGCCAACTTAGAACCGACGGGGGGGGCGGATGACCGCCCCCCCCCCTGAGATCTCGAGAACGAAGCAAGATAACGACAAGTGGTAAACGACATGGGGTACGCACGGACAAGGTCTACAATTTTTAAAAAGGTCATTTTCAGGTCAGGTCAAATATGACGTCACAGGGGTCAAAAACGTCAAAATGGCGGCGCTAGTGTTTTTTTGCGTTTTTTTGTTTTGTTTTGTTTTGTCGTTTTTTGTTTTTTTTGGCTAGTATGTTTTTTTTTTGGCGGTGAATATATGTAGTTTTTCTCGAATAACTTTCGAATTGGTAAAGCTAGGAACAAACTAAGGGCACCATCGTGATTCTCTCGTCAATCCGCATCGAACTTTATATATATGTTGATCTCGAAAGGTCAAGGTCAAAGGTTGCCTTAGGTCACGTGACCTCATATCATTCGATGCGCCTTGACGAGCTAACACAATGAGACCATCCGCGCGGCTGTATGTTGTTCCTGTAAGGAGTTATTGGCAAACAACCTTTGGTGACCTTTGATAACGTCACATGACCTTACAGCTGCCCCACAGCAAAACAGGCCTCAAGGAAGTGAAGGTTGATCGTATATGAAGTCATGTTTGGTATATGGGGCCATTCTGACGCATTTTAGTGGAAAAAACAGGGAGTTGATTTTCCCTCCATTATTGACTTATAATGGGAAGGTCGAGAAATGGGCCTGACCTTAGGTCATCGATATCAAAATTCCGAGATATACAAATTGTAGCTACCAATGACGTTATAACATCCTGCGACTTTCAAAAGCCTCCGTCATCTACTGTAGCTCTGACACTGTGGCAAAGGTGCAAACAAGTGACTTGAGGTTGGGTCATTCAAAGTGACCTGATGACCTGACCTTTAAAGTTAGGAGCTTCAAACTTGCACACCGTGTGTAAAACTGATGAGGCAATAGTCATATCAAATTTCGCGGCGCTGCAGTATTCCCGCTATTCGCGAAAAACCTGAGTCAAGCACAAATCAGGAGCTTTTACGGCCCAACGTTCACCCTAGGCAAAGATATTCCATGTCTCGTCCCGAAAAAATGCATTGCTGAGGAATGCAGCCACGTCATCGCCAGCCAATCAGCATGCTGCTTACAGCCAATGGGTTTGAACTACGCAATATGATTGGTCAGTGCGCAAAATGCTACCGCGTCCGGCGTCAAACAATATTTCACATAGAGCAAAGTTCTTCCTATATTTAAAGATAGAAAATAATATTTTTTTTAATAAAAAGGGTTTTATTTTCTTTGCTGATTATTTTGAGCATATTAAATCATAAACCCATTGCAAAAAAAACTAATCTTGGGAAAGTGAACTATTCCCTGGGACCGGTTAAATATGAGGGATTTTGACCTTTACATTTTGTTGATGCAGCAGGTTGAAATCACGGTAACCGCTTCTTATTCAGGATGACACAGGGCTAAACACATTAAAAAATTAAGGATGTTATTAAACAGCTTAAAACAGCTGATCAATAACGCGGATCTTTTTTAGTTTATTTAGGTAGGTAGGTATTACCATACTCTTTGTATGAGCAAGCCCCCTTGTTTAAGAACGCAGAACAACAGAGCATTAGCGCTTTTTATATTACATCCTTCTTGAAAAAATTCCAACTATCCTCAAAAATTAAGTGTGAAAGTTCCGGTAGACCCTTGCCGCACTGGTGGTCTGCCGTCTGAGTTTTCCATGTCGTGCTGGGAGGGGGGGGGGGGGGGGCGTTTTCCCGCCCCCGTCTAGCTCGGCTCCTGGGCCACGTAGCGACACGCGGTAAGCGGCAATAGAAAGAGCGTAAAATACTGAAGGAAATACTTCAATCATTTTTCGGCCGGGTCAAAGGTCCGGTCACCAGAGGTCATCAAACGTAAAATTTTGCCTTTTTCAACATTTTGGACAAACCGGCGCATCACTCGGGAACCAATTGAGATCAACGCTTCGGAAAAGCGCATTTGATAGCTCTGTTAACGCTCTTTCGCAAACATGTCCTCAGATTTGACCTAAGACCAACGTTTAAGCCTCCTGAGGGCAAAAACTAAAAATGACTTTTTGTAACAAACAAAAAATGTTCGCGGTTATACTTTTGATGGAAGAATGTCACGACAAATATTTTGTCAGTATCGTGTTCCTCTCGTTGAGACGCGTCGAATGAGCTATAATGAATGACCTTTGAAGGTCATTCATTTTTCAGGTCATGTTGAAAATTTGACCATAACAAGGTCATAATATAACCTTACTGGAAAAGGCCATATTGCATATCAGTCGATCCGTATCATCAAGCGTAACACATCTGATGTGGGTTCATCGCTCTAGCATGGCTTTATCAAAAGTTATTGTCAAAAAAAAAAATGCTGGGAGCCCGAACTTTTTATGACCTGAGATGACCTCAGAAACACAAAGAGGAGTCAGGTGCAGCTTTTCGTCCGATTCGGTGTGTCATGTTTACCTGTAAGCCAACATATGTTTGAGAGCGTTTAGAGCGCCATTCGTCTAAAAGAGACGCATTTCAATTGTCTCCCATTGTGATTGAGGTATAATGGAAATGTCGCAAAGTTGGCCTAACGTTAGGACACACATGGGATCGAAATTTGAGATATACCTAGAACAACCAGGTAACTGATCTGGTAGCTCATTACCTTAGCTTTCTTCGAATAACACATCAGAAACGGGTGGCATGCACAGTTCTTGAGATATGCCGTCCGATTTGACAGGACATCAGATCGGGCATTTTACCCCACCCGTGGGGCATAACGCCCAATCCTGAATGTTTCATCACAATTTTGATACTCTGTCAAAATAAGGTAGTATTCATCCATTCCCCATTTCATTAGACCTCAACTCGACAAATTGCATCATTAAAAACACCTTAAACACTGCTGTCGCCACCCCAGTCCTTATTCAGTCAACGCATGTCACTGCTCTGGTGAGCAAAGATCAAATCTCGCAAATAAATCATTCTAGACGATTCCAACCAGATAATTGCATATTTTAAAAGAATCATGAGCATTAGAAACATATCCCGTCACTCACTTTGAGCCTAAAATGCCCGCAATAACCCGTGCTGTATAACTCACATTGGCCCATGATGGGCGCTTTGCCCCACACCAAAGTGGGCGTATTACCCCAACAGCACATTCAAAACAAAATTTGCCAAATTTAAGCCTGCCACAATTGTGTTGCAAGCAAATAAAGGCTTAAACTTCAAAGCATGGCTTAAATCTGCAGATTCAACATAACAAAATTTTATTGCCTTCTTCAATCTCTATCAGACAAAGCTTTAGCACTACGAAAGCTTTTAATTTCTAAAAACATCAGAAATAAACCAATATGTATTTTATGTCCAGAAACCCCCACTTGTGGAACCAAAAAAAGGGAGCATAAGCAGATTCCTGCGTGTTCTTGAAAGTGGCTATCAAGGATTCTTTGAAAAGTCTAGCATCTCACAAATAAGAGGGGTGAGCGTTTTACCCGCCCTGGGCGCTTTGCCCCACTTTACCCTACCATTAATCTTATCAATCGCTGAAAGTTTCAAAGCGATCGTTCATTTGGTGTAGCTATGGCGATTGGCGAGTATTGCAATGTTTTATGACAAGGTCTCCTGACGTGACCTGGTTATCTGACCTTGAACGACCCGGATCTTAAATTTTTTATGACATGTGCAGAACAGATGAATGATAGGTGGTGCTAAAAACAGCTGCGCGTGCGCGCCGCCATTTCTTTATATAGATATTCGCCAAAAACCCGAGGGGGAAACGTAAAAACACCCCTCAGGACGGCACGGGCTAAGGAAATAGAAAATGGCATGACGTCTACGTCAATTTGAGCTGACCTTTCGCAGCCAATCATATGTACGTAACTTGCGGCAGAAACATAAATAGAGAGTAGAGACAATCATAGAATAAAACCGATGTCAAGATGAAGGAACTGTCATAGCGTAACACACGCAAATGTAGAAGTGGACAAGGTGCAGCTTTGCATGCAAAGACTGTTATCCTTCATATCACTAATGCCATTACTAATGCATCCATTCAGTCAAGTATGTAGGTATGCAAATCGGCTGGCCAGTCCTAAGGAAAATTCCACCGTGTAAAGTTCAAACGCAGTAATTACTATAGGCACCGTAAACCGGGGTGAGTTGATATGGATTTTGAGGTTTTTCTAGATTTCTTTAAAAGCCACATTCATTTACGGAATTCTTTTTGTGCCAGTTTCATGGCACATGCCTTGGGGAGGCAATCAGCAAAAATGAATAAAAAATGTATATATTAAACCCCTTTTTTAAAACGCCAAAGTTCATATCAACTTACCCTCTGGGGGTGGTGAGTTGATATGGTTTTGAATTTATCAAAATTTCTCTGCTAAAGAACCTCAGAGGTAAGTTGATAAAATGCCAGTGTTTAAAAAAAAAGGATGAGACAACACATCCTGAAAGAAACCATCAGGAAAATGGTAGTAGTTTGGCAGCAGACCTCACATTCATGAAAACGCAATCATGTCCAACACAACGCTATCAAAATGGCTTGATTTTAGCAGCATCATTTTTTTTTTTTTTGCTTTGTGATATTTAGTTTTACTTAGAACATTCTGAACTTGGCTAGTCACGTGTCCTCAAGCCAACGGTATCAAAACTGGCAATATATTTTGGAATTACAAGTGTATTTTCTTGTAATTAAAACACATTGTCAGTTGCGGGTCAAGGTTGATATGCCTCTGACAGAGATAATGGATTGAAATGAAAGCATACATATACTTCTGAGCCTTTGTTGACTGGTAGTCAACAAAATATTAATGGAGTGAAGTGAAGCGAATCTAATTCGGACTGTATTCTATCAGGGGAAATAGGCGACATAAAACAAAATTCGGCATCAAAAGCTAAA